TTTTTTTTTTTTTTTTTTTTTTTTTTTGCACCATTCCCGCGGGAACCTTCGCGAGTTGGAAATAATTTTTATGCCCGATTTTTACCAGCCCGTCGTGCTGATTTTTTTTTCGAAACGTTGATGGAACGATCGCGCGGCCTAAAGGAGGGGTAAAATTAAAAAATATTCCTCCCCCTCTCCCCCCGTACAATCCCATTCTCTTCGTTTCTCTCTCTCTCTCTTCGCGATTATTGTTTTGGGAAACAACTTTTAAAGATAACAGATAGTATCATAAATAAAATCTGATGGAAAATTCCACCATTTTCGAATTCTATTTTCGATTTAAACAATTTTTGACGGGTAGAAAAATCATCGAGTATTTTTCTTAAAAGTAATAATGATGAAAAAATAAACGTCACCACTCGGATGAATTTTTATACATTGGAGGAATAACATAATAATGGTGAAAATTGTAATTGATTGCGTCGACATATCGTAATATCGGAATCTCGTCGTTTTTATCAATTAGAGATACGCTAATGGATCCCCAATAATTTTCTAAATAATTGTTTCGAATACACGAATCACGTTAGAAATGATAGATATTGATAAACTGGTAATGTCGTTGATCTACCGAACTATCATCAATGCCGAACCATTTTGGTAAACTGTCAGGGACCGTGTTTCAACGTATTTCCAAATTTCATTGGTAACTACTAATTCGAAAGTTGCCAATACAGCCTTCTACACGCGATGCTTGTATCCAGAATCACCGGAAATGTAAATATACCGTGAAGCTAATACAAGCTGCTCCATCGAGCGTATTCAATGATCATGTTTCTGAAATAAACGTGGTTCCAATTTCCATTACTAGATCCAACTTGAAAACATATATCGCGTTACAGGATTGAAAAAAAAAAAAAACGAACACGTTGGAAACACATAATATGTTTGTCGAAAAATATTAATTTTAACTCGAAATAGCGTAATAGTAGTAGAAAAAAAAAAAAAAAGAAGAAAAAAAGAGAAAATACCTTCGGGATAAAACTGAAAATTCTCTCGAGAATGACAACAAATCCGAAAGATGAAAAAATATTTCTAAAAATATTTTTCTAACGAATATCGGTAAGATCCGTAATTGCTTTAAACTACAACGTTGGATGCAAACGAATAAAATCAGTCGACGCATAAAAATTTTTTCAATTTTTTGAATTTTTTCCCCCTTTTCTCCGAAATCAAACCGAAATCGAGTTTCGAAGAATGAAACGAAAAAATGAAAGAAAAGAAAACTCGGGTGCTCGTTATGAAATTCGGGCAATGCGGCGCTCTGAAAAGAGGGGGATTCGGATTCGACAAATGTACAGATTACGCAGATATTTCAATTAGAACAATTAGAATATCGCGTACAGCGAGGAACGAAGGGAAAACGCAAGATGAACGAAGTGGAAAATCCGGAATATTCTTCTCGACGGAACGAATTAATTAAATCGGTCCTTTGAAACGTGAAGTGGAAATAAAAATTTCATATTTCGGTTGCAGAACAATCGAATCAAAGACCACGAAATTCAAACAAACGATCGGAACTCGGTTTCCGACCGAGATACCCTCGAAAATCGAATAATTTCCCGCCTCGCCATTTCGATTTGAAAAAAAGGACCTCCCTCTACGACATTCAATCGGTCTTTCTTCCGAATGACGGCTTGTTAATTTAAGGAGCGACCAACCAATCTCTCGAGAAGGGGGCAAAAAAAAAGTGGGGCAAAACTGTGGCAATTACTCGTGGCGGCAGTTGTCCAGAAAGTTGTCCGTAGCGGGACAATTAATGGGCGGCGTATTAATTAGGGATAGGG